ACCACCAACAAACTCCCTTCGCTGTCTATACAGAGCTGCTTTCAGGCTCTCTTTCTTCTTTTCATCAACTCTTTGCACCAAAACTTGAAACGTCGCATAGACTGGTCGATGATCGGAAAATCGAAGGGGCGCGTCGTTGTAGTGTATCTGTCGAATATTGTCGCCTTTGCGAAGAACACGGTCGCACCATGCAGGTATGCGTGCCTTCTCCGACGTATCATAATGATCGCTATTAAGATCGTACTTGTACGTGGGTGGGAAGGTAATGCGCGCTTCCGAATAGTAGGGGAAGGTTAAGCCTGCAACCATCTGCAAGTTGAGCTAGGGCGTGTCAGCGGCCATCATTACTGTGAAAGCTAAACAACCTACCTGATCGTTCTCATATAGCGTCTCAAGATCGCCAACATGGCACAATTTCTTCACCTTCTCGTTACTCAGGCCTATCCGGTAGTTGAAGTCACCAAGCCATATCACGGTATCATGATCGTCGATTGATCTATTTCTCTGGAATCGCAGTCCATGGCTAATCGTCTTGTAGTCGCGGTTGCGTTCTTCGTAGTTGGCAAAACCAGCTGCAAGATGTGCAGTGACGAGGCAGATTGAGGTATTGGCATATTCGAAGCGGATTGCCACAGCACCTTTGTTGCCAGCCATGCCAGACATACCAGTCTAAAAATTTGGTTAGTATTTTGATATCACAAACAGAACCTTTTTGTATACCTTCTTCAAAGCACCCTCGACGTTCTTGATGTGCTTCAGACAGTCTGACCGGACAAAAACTGACAAGCTTGCCCCGACTAGTTGCCCGCCTCTGAGCATGACATATTCATCTCTGCCATGTCTCTCAGAGTTTCTATTCAGACACGTCCTTACGGCTTCTTCCCAAGCCTCTCGTCGGTCTGGGTCTGTAGACATGATCTGCTGCGGGCTCAACTCCACGATTTCTTGGAATCCCACAGCCACTATCTCGGGGCACTGCTGTGAAGCATCGACGTCAGGGCACAGCCATGGCGATAGGTCACTTCTGATACCATCCGTCTTTCCGTTCAGGTTGAACGTCCCAACAAGTATGTTGATCATCTCGGTTTCTGAGTACTCTGCGGACCGCCTTGCAAGCTCGGTGACAACGAAGTCATTTATTGGGTCGTAAAGGTGCACTGGCACTTGGCCAATCAGTCGTCCGAGAAGCATATCGATTGTGTTTTGCCGCCCCTTGTCCGCAAAGTTGTTGATGTACATTCGCGTGGCGCTTTTCCGAGCATCTGCAAGAGCACCGGCAAGCGACATCTTTCCAGATCGCGTAAAAGAGGACTTCAAAGCACCAGTGCCGGCATAAATCTTGGACAGAGCATCGCCGTTATCTGCCCACATGCTTGAGTGTCTGGCCCAGAAGTCTTGACTGGCTCTGAGGCCTTTGTGGCTCAAGAATAATTCAAGCGCCATCTTGCTGATGATGGTTTGGACGAGATTCGTGCGATCGAGACAATCTAGACAGTTCGTTCTAAAAATTCCCTCTTGTTGCAATATGGTCATTGTCCGTCGGACAAGATAGTCTTGCCCGTTGTGTCTCGTCTGTTCTTCTACCTCTTCAGAAAGGTAGTATCCAAAGCCTTCTGCAGAATCTTGAATCCACCTGGCGATCATGCTGGCCATCTCGTACCCACCTGGTCCACGTGTCTCGGCATGAAAATCGTATTCGGTGAGCTTGATGAGATCGTGTTCATGTTGAGCAGGATCATGCCCGTGGTTCAAAGGGCTGTTGCGGATATGACCACGATATCTATATGACAACTCTAGCTCGTTCTGCTTTTCGTTGCTCAGTAAATTGACTACGTGTATCGTGCCATAACTCAGCTCTAAGTTTTCAAAGTGCTTGTCAAAAGCCGGCTGAGTGGCTTCTGGAGATCGCGTGATGGTGATCTTTTGTTGATTGGGCAAAAGGCCAGCCTGTTGCTCCCAAAAGATAGGCACACTTCCTCGTACTTGTACGTACGAGAAGCAGGCTCCTGATGGAGCCCAGTGGATGGTTTCAGTTTCAACAAAGTTTGCGACGTTTCCGTCATCGTCGATGCCTCGCGAGTTGAACCTGGTGCCAGCCCTTTTGCATGATAATCTAGAAATAAGGGTCATGGAAGAAGGCATACCCGAGTCCTGAACCCTGATGGGTGCCGAGGCCTTGGGGATTGTAATCGTCAGCGCGAAACCGCGAATCGCTGATGTCAAGATTCCCGATGCGTCCAGCGCCTCTTTATCCCTCGTCGCGAGCCTACTCCTGAAGTCTACCAGTGGCTGTATCATGTATGAATTCCACAGAAATCCGGCATCCAGGCTATCGATAGAGACGGTGGTGGCGTCCGTGGTACGATCCTGCAGCCGCCTGGTGAGGTCAAAGTCTGAGCTGTAATAGAAGGTTCCGCTGCTGAGAATCTTCTTGAGCGCCAGACACGGGTGCTCCGTCGGGCTCTGTTCTTTCCTGCCCCCAAACCCCATTTCGTATCCCTCGTCATCTATTGTATCCGTAGGGTAGGGGTTGACTTCATTGTCAAGCAGCATGTCATAGCTGGTGCTGGTCAGACAGTAGAAGCCGACAGAGTGTATTCGCTGTACGGTCTCGCCCGGTCGTACGGTCGCAACTTTGCTTGCGCCGTTGACTACGATCAAGAACACATTATTGTCCACGGTAATCAGTCCCAGAGTACCATGTACGTTGACTGAGTTTATAGCCCTGTAGTCCTCGAGGTCGATTTCCTCCAACCGTGTGAACTCGACCATGCAGCGCGCGACGCCAGCGCCATTGCTTCCCAGTGACGTTGACGAAGCATTTGGATTCCCATTGTGCTCGGTGGTGGAGGCGCTGTGTCGGAGGACGAGGGCGTGGGTTGAGGTAGCAAGTGCGATTGCGCGGTGCGGATAATCTTTGACCAGGACGCGGATGGACATTGTTGGTGGTAAGGGGGTGCGACAAGCGGCTCGACGGGCGCTTCGGGCATGTCCCACTTGCTCTACTTACGTGCAGCGGTGAAGAGTGCTTGCGCGCAAAGTATGACGGTCGTGGCAAGTAAGCACGTGTACTGGGAGGATTGTTTTCAGCTATGGGAATAATCTTGGTCTCAGTGTTGATCGCAACCCTGGACTCATATGCACATACGAAACCGCTCCGCTGGTGCCCAAGGCTTCCCTGGCCGTCGCTTGCACCGGCAACCGAAAGCGGGTTTCTTGTGGCTAGGACTTTGTCTGCACCCAATACTTTGGCTCTCTCAAAGGGCGGCGTCCGGACGTGCGTCGGGCCACCGCCGTCATCCAGGAACCGCCTCAGCAATGACCTCACTCACAGCCACTAAAGCTTTGGAACAAAGCGGAGCATGTCATTAAATCGTAACCAGGCCACTACGTACTATGTGCAAATTCACAGTATCTGCCAAATAATTATTTCAGCATCATCAACATGAGCGCGTTTGAATCGGCCAGACGCGCCTTGCAAACAGGATACTTCTCCCTCACTGTAGCATGGTACCGATGATTACCGACCGTAGTCCCTCCTCCGCCTTCCGTCATTTTCTCCGATTGACACCCTCATGTTAGTGGTTTCTCTATAGCCTCCCCTCGAATCGTCATAGCCAGCACGGCTGCGGCTACGCTGTCTGCTCCGGTCTCGCGTCTGATATCTCTCGTAGTGATCGCTCTCGCTCGATGCAGGCTCCACGTATCGGTAGTGCTCGTAGCGTGGGTTGTCAGGGCTGTAAGCTCGTTGGCGCTCACGCCGGACCTCGCGCTCACGGTACACATATTCACTACGGTCGTCAAGACTAGACGTATGAGAGGTGATGCTAGATCGCGGAGAGACCTCGACGTAGTGCGCGCCGCCGTGATGGGAAGTATGGTGAGACGAGATATGGCTTGGCGCCGGTGGTGGAGCAGGCATAGGCATAGGCGCCGGTGGTGGTGGTGGAGGTGGAGAAGGCTGGATGAACACAGGCACCGGCTGCGGCGCGGGGATCTGGAGAGGTTTTGGCGATGGCACGGCAATATAGGATGACGAGGGCCGTGGAGGTGAGTCGCGAACAACCTCACTGCGCGAGTAGCGGCGTTCAATGTCGCGCGAATGTCGCGATACACGGCGACGGGGCGGAGAGCGGGCACGCTGCACTACGCGGTACGGGACTATGTGGTCCTCTTCTTGCTTAACTTTGACAAGACACATGGCGCCTTTCTCGCTCTTCACTAGGTAATCCGCTGGCAGTGATGAGAGTCGAAAAGTGGGAAGCTTCGATTGCGATCGCAATGTGATTCGTGGGGGCCGATGAGCGTGGGGTTGCCCGATCGAAGACGCGGACGGAGCACAACACAACCAAAGCACGCGCAAACGAGGCAGATGGAGAAGCGGAAAAAAGACAGCAGAGCTTGAGGATATCAACAGGAAGATATTGGATAAGTATGCGCCCCAGAGGTTGGGCAGCCGATGCCCAGCCACAGCTGACCCCCCATGTCGCTTTCATGCTGCTCCGCCTTGGAACGGGACATGTGAGTACATACGATGACGAGGTCTAGGCTCGTCTAAGTAACAACGGTGTGCTAGCGTGCAGGCTGCAGGCTAGTCCCAGGTACAAGCCACCACCATGGTTAACAGCCAAGGCAGAAAGTAAGTACAATCATATTTCCCGTGGCCGTGTAGACTCGTGACAATCGTGCCGCATCCCACATACAAAACACTACATGTTCCACCCGCTTGCTATCTCAAATTATACATGAACCATCTAGATACCTCGACAAGCCTGCCTATCCTCTCCTCACGCACGTGTGAAATCTTTGGAGATTGCCGTCAGTAGGTCCGTTGCACAGCCTGCCCTGCAATATCGGTCACGTATCCATCCAGTGCCCAAAGGCACGTCTTTTGCTGAGTCTGCAAGAGTGTCGCTGGACGTGACGGGCGATACAAGTAGGAGGTACTCTCGTGTCGATTTTATATATGTACACATCTGAAGACAAGAACATGACTACCACTAGTCGTCCATGGGTTTGTCCTCGAGTGTAACGCCTCGAGGCGCTGTGTCTTCGCTCCTGATGCTACCGGTTGAATCCCTGTTGCCTCTCGTCAAGCTGCCAGCAGTCTTCCGGGGAAAAGGTACCCTGGTACTTGAGGGCGCAGGGTGCTCGACAGGAGCAGCCTCAGTGGCACCGTTTGTAGTAGCAGGAGCTATTTCGCCGGTAGAACTATCGTCGCTTCCGGGCACCTCAAGCGATCCACGGTTTCCATTGGCCTTTCGCGAATCAGTAGGTGACGATGTATTGACTGGGAATCGTGTGGCGCTTCGGTCTCGGCGATGAGATCCTGATACTCGCGAGCCAGGCGCTGGTGAGGTTGCCCGTGGTGATCGCTGAGCAGCAATGGCACGTTGCCGCTCCTCCATGTTTGCACGTCGGTTACTCTCATCTGTAGAGATTGCACGGGGGCGCTGAGCGCCAGAGGATGAGTGAGTGAGTGTGCTTGCGCGCTTCAACTCTCCGAAAATCGCATCCTTGTGTGCGAACAGATCGCGCACCAGGCGGTAACTGTATCGTTCATTCATAGTCAAACTTGACTCTTGCTTGGGCCTAAGGATGCATGGCGCGAGCGTATTGGCTAGTGCCGTGACATACGTCTCATCAGCCGATGTCAGCTCAATAAGACGGGTAAAGTGTGTGCAGATAGCATCCAGTGTAGCAATGTTGGCAAGACGCAGTTGGCCAAGAGTTGACTGAATGACAGAAATCCTTGTCTCTTCAGAGACGTCGGTTGCAGTAGTGCTGTAAATGGTCTTGACAATTTCGTAAACATGGGAAGAAACCAATGAGTCTAGTGCAATCAGTAAAAGAGCCTATAGTAATGTCATGGAGTGCATACCAGGAAGTTCCAGGAGGTAGAGCTTGAGGACGCTAGCAACAATCGGCACGTCATACTTCTCAAGCAGTTCGTCGGGGAATCTTTTGCCAGTGTTGATCTCAGATCTGAGAGTGTGAGTTTGGGACAAAGGTACGTCGACTAGCCAGATACCCCGACGGGCCTCGTCGCCCTCGAGATCAGGGTAGTGGTTGTCCAAGAAAGTGAGTATGGTAGTGATGATTATTGGCACACGCTTCTTGTCCGAGCGCGCGCGAGCCTCCAGATCTACACCAAAGGTTTGCTCTGCGTGATTGTTAGTATCGCATAAAGAATGGGATTAGAAAGGACCGTACCATCCACGGAGTTATAGTAGTTCTCGTATGTCATGACTTTTGGCACAAATGGGCCTGTCCTGTAGTTCTCGAGCATGTACCGCAAATCACCCAGTGGCTGCACCGTTTCTTGGAAAAGCATCATCTTGTCCACAGTGCTTTGCAAGCTAGGAATGACGTTGCTGACGGCTCCAGAGAAGTCGAGGATAACCGCCTTGATAGCCTTGAGTCTGTCCAGCTCGCAGCGCTCCATGAACTTGAGATGATCCACCATTGCCTCCTCCAAATTACACCTCAAGGAGTCGAGCTTCTTCACCGAGGCCTTGTATCGCTCGTCAGCTTCACGAGCCTCTCGCCTCAATCTCTCTGCCGGTGTTTCATTTGGGTATTGGTTGTTGAGCGGGTTCCATCCCTGTAGGTACTCTTGCACAGTTCCGACAGGAGTATCGACGGAAATGCTATCGACCGATGAGTTCGACATGGTAGTGGAGGAGCGTGCCATGGGTTGCTTCTTCTCAGGCAATCCGGTAATCTGGAAAGCCTTGGTTTTCCACTGGTAGTTCATTCTAGAGCTGTTGGCGAACGTGTTGCCAACGTTGCCAACCAGGCGCAGGAAGCCATGGGCAACCATATCTTGACCGATGCGCTCAGCGTAGCTGACGGTAGTAGCACCCATGTGCTTTTGGATGTACTCAGTGATGTCGGCACCAGTTGAGCAATTCTGGTAGGTGCCCAGGATGGGAACTTTGACCTCGCCGAGTTTGATGTTGTCGAGCATATGTGTGAGGATCTTCTTGACTTGATCGGGCTGGTATGTCTCGTCGCCCAGATCGATGGGCTCCTCTTCCTCGTCCTCGGGCTCAGACATCTTGATGGTAGGTACCTTGACCTTGGGGCTCTGCGCAGCTTCACTCTGGGGGTCCTGAAAAGCGAGCTTATCCTCCTCCTCCAGATCCTCGACTAGACGGCATTTGTTGTAGTATTGTGAGCGGAACTTGCGGACGGCATCGGCCTGGCGGTCGTGGATCTTGATGCGCGATTGTAGGTCGTCTTGGGAGTTCTGGACACGGGCAGCATGCGCCTCGCACCAGCGGCCAAAGGGATTCACAACCAGCTCTCGGATGTTGGACGCAATCTTCTTGTGGTTTGCGGCAGCTGCCTCCATCTCGGTGCGCACGCCTTCGTAGGCCTGGTGGGGGTCAGCGGTCAACGGTCAGCGGTCGGGCATAGGCAGGTACTGTGTCACACGCACCTTTCGCACACTTGCGCCCTCATCTCTACTGAAGCCTCCGGCTATGCGCTCAGTGGCTGGTGTAATGGCAGCCAGCGAGTTTCCGTAGACCTCTTCGGCATCGGCTCGCATGCGGGCAACGGTCAGAATCTGCTGGTTCTCTTGGACTCCCTGCTGGAGCTTTCCAAAAAGAACACCCAAGCCTGCAAGGTCAGCACAGGCGGGGCGGTGTTGGGAGCGGACGTCAGGGCATACCTCCGGCATAGTCGCTAGACCAGAATGACGCAGCGAAGCCGGTACTCATGGCGGCAGCTTGCAAGCAGGCAGCACTCGACTCGTGATTACTCTGGAGGGAGGAGGTGTATGAGAAAAGAAAAGATTGGGTTGTTGGTGGGTGGTCGGTCAACGGCCGTAGTGAGCGTGGAGAAGATAGGCCTGGGGAAGGAACACGCAAGCGCGGACCCGGTGATGTATGGCAGAAAGTTGCGCGGCCTCAGACGTTTCGGCGGCGTTTCTGCTGGCGGAGGGCCCAGGCAGAGAAAGAGTGACGACTAGAAGGGGCAAGGTGCGCGTGATGGGCGAGGGCAGAAGCCAGGCTGAGTGAAGTTACATAGGATAATAGGGTACCACGCAGCCGCCTCAGGAGGGGTTTTTGCAGGCCGGCCGCTGTGGCAGAGCTGATGTCGCATCCCACACCCCTGCAGCCTTTGTTCGTGACAGGGCTGGCTCAGGCAGCCCAGCAGCCAAACAGCCTCTGCCCAGCCAGGGTTTTTTGCCCGATATTTGGCCTTTAGTCGCCATGGCCAATGGTAAAAATACCTACATACTCGTACAGTCGTCGTCAATGGACCGACTCCTAACGCTTCTGCCCCTGCATCGGCTAGGGCCTGGTCAGCCCGCTGCTGATGATGACTACCGTCCCAGTACGTACTACGTATGCAGCACTGCGCTGCACTGCACTGCACTGCCCTACTACTGGTAGAGGCCATGGTAAGTACAGTACACTAAGTATGTACTCCTGCCTACATACACGGCTGCGTACATACAGTACTACTTACTAGCACCATCCACACCCCCATCAGCCCCAACACCACCGCCACAACCACAACAACAACCACGCCAGTAATAGTAGTAGTACTACTACTACTCACCAAGTCCAGTCTGCATCCAGCGCCTGCCCGACAGTTGACTGATTAGCCTCAGGTGGCTTGCGTGTGTGTGAGAGTGTGGGAGCGTGCACGCTACGGGCCGAGTTTGGTGTTGCACTTGCCCTCTTGATCCTTCTCAGCCTTGCAGAGATACACACACACACCCACACACGCATCCGCCTTGGCTTGCAACCACAGCCCCGCAGCCATCACACTCGCAGGCTGCACAGGGGCACCAGCACCTCGCTCGGCAAAGACGCCGGGTTCAACCCAGCACGTCTCCATCATGGCTCCTTCTGCCCTCGACAGCACACAACTCAACTATGCCCGCCACATCAAGTACTGGCGCAGAAACCTCAAGACGCTGCTGCCCCATTTCTACACCAGCAATGACTCCAACCGCATGCTGCTTGCCCTCTTCACCGTCTCTGCCCTCGATATCCTGGGCGATCTAGACGCCGCCCTGTCTCCCGAGGAGCGTCAAGGGCACATCGATTGGGTCTATGGCTGCCAATTGCCAGAGGGCGGTTTCCGCCCATGGCCAGGGTCAAACTACGGCAGGCTCAGAAATGACGATAACAAAATCTGGGACCCTGCCCATATCCCGGGAACCTTCTTTGCACTCCTAACGTTGATTGTTCTCGGCGATGATCTGGAAAAGGTCAAGAGGAAAGAAATCTTGGCGTGGTTGGTCCAGATGCAAAGACCAGAGGGCAGCTTTGGTGAGACGCTCGGCGAGGGTGGCTATGTGCATGGTGGCAACGACTCAAGGTTCGGATACATGGCCACGGCCATTCGATGGATGCTACGCGGCGATCTTGAAGGGCCATGCGAAGGCATCCCAGACATCGATGTTGACGCCTTTGTTACATGCGTTCGCGCATCGGAATGCTACGACGGAGGCATTTCCGAAGCGCCCTATCATGAAGCACATGCCGGATTTACCTGCTGCGCCATTGCTGCACTTGCCTTTCTGAACCGCCTACCGTTACCGTCCTCGCAAAAGCCCGATGGTGTTATCCGCGGAGTGTCCAACGTCCAAAATACTTTACATTGGCTTGTGTCTCGACAAACTCTGACTCTGGACGAGGAGGACGGCATAGACACTATGGAAGACGAGACCGATTCTGCAGAAACTTGTCACGACGCGCACTCTTTTGTAAAGTTGGGCTCGTATCCATCTACGCAGGCTAACGAGGACTCCAAAGTAAGACCTAACGTTCACTTCGACCTGCAATGGGTTGGTGTCAACGGAAGGTGCAACAAAACTGCCGATACATGCTATGCCTACTGGACATGCACACCTTTGCAGCTGCTTGGTCACCTCGACATCGTGGATTCGCAACCCATCAGGAAGTGGTTGCTGGACAAGACACAGCATGCTGTCGGAGGCTTTGGCAAGGTTACTGGAGACCCGCCGGACATGTACCACTCGTTTCTGGGCTTGATGGTTCTCGCTATGTTCGGCGAGCCTGGCCTTCAGAGTGTTGATCCGGCATTGTGTCTCACGCACAAGGCGAAGAAACATCTCGAGTCACTTTCATGGAGGAGGAAGATACTTGGTATCCATGACTCAGAAGATAAAAAAATTGATGCATAGAACGAGGGGATAGTCCCAGCTGGCTACATGCTATGTATGGACGATGTGAACGTCTTCTGGTGTGTCCAGTCAGGCCAACTGGTGTTCTAGCTTCTATGTTCACGATTGATGTCTTTCTAGCTTCGACTTATTATTTTGCGTTGAGCGCAATACTCACAATCAATGAGAAACGAGAGTCATGACCACTACTGATGTAGATAATCTAATCACAATAATTTCATCGAGCCTGTCACCATCGTGGTGGTGGTAATAATGCTGTCTTGGTCTAAATCTAGGTAGGGTAGGGACCAGCCTCGGCTCCACCCAGACTACCTAATACCTACTACCAGATCCCTGCCATGCAGGTAATTTTTGGCAAACTCCGCAACCACTTTTCCCGCCTGTCGCAATACAACGCGACAGCACCATCCCAGCACCATTCGCCCTGCAGCCTGGTCTCCACAAGGTCCTGCCAATTTCTGGTAACCCTCGACGCAATCATGGGCCCGCCCAACAAGAAACGCAAGCTCGCCGTCACCGCGCCCGAAACAATCGAATTCAACTTTGCGGCGCGCGAAGAGTACTTGACCGGGTTTCACAAGCGCAAGCTCGAGCGAAAGAAACACGCCCAGGAGGAAAATGCGAAGCGCGAGAAGGAGGAGAAGTTGAGGCTTAGGCGAGAAGTATGTGTTCGACTTTTTTGGTGGTTTGGAAAAGCGCAAGAGCAGCATTACTTGCAGCGCTCAGCATCCTCAGCATATACAATGTAACAAGCAACTAATACATGCTACAATAGCTCCGAGCCGAGCGCAAAGCCGAACTAGAAAAACACGTCGAAGAAGTAAACCGACTAGTCAAGCAAGCAAACGGCGACCTCAGCTCCGCCGACTCGGACTCGGACTCCGACAATGACGACGACAACAAAGACGGTAACGAAGAAGAATTCACAGGATTCCAAGAACCAGAACCCATCAACCAAGAAGACGAGTACATTGACGAAGACAAATACACAACCGTCACCATGGAATCCGTAAACATATCCAAGTCTGGCTTCTCGCGGCCAGGCGAAGACGACGAGCACGACGAGGAGGCCAAGAAGAAAGCACAAGAGGCCGCAGATGCAGAGGCAAACAGCAGCAACAAGAAAAAGGTGTGGACGAAAGCGTGGCCAAAGAATAGCGATAAGCCCAAGAAGAAGAAGAAAAAGTTTAGGTACGAGACTAAGACGGAGAGAAAGGCGGAGCGCATCAAGCAGGGTATGAAGAAGAGGAAGCAAAAGGAGGCGAGGACCAACAAAAATTAGTCGACACGCGGCATGATATTTCTCTCTCTTTCTGCATTGTCTTGTGTGAGCGTTTACGCTGGTGGTAGGTAGAGCTTTCGAGAGCTTTGTGCAGGAATACACAAAAATGATACCCCCTCTTCCCCCCCCCACCCTTCATAACTTTGTTCAATTTGCTCAATAAAGCACAAACATCTGACACAATTCCCATCCCGGCATGTCCGCGGCTCATATTATCCAGGGGGGTCATTAGAACCCACCCCCCCCCCCCATCATCAGTAAGTACACATCTCACATCATGCACGGCGGCCGACGCACTGGGTGATTCTAAAGGGGGTATTACGGTATGTCTGGCGGGAACCACCAACGTTGTATTTGCTCAGGGATTACAAAAGGCGAACAGGCCCGCCCAGCAAGCAGCCGCAGAAAAGAAACAGTTGTATAGTAGTAGTAGTGTAGGGGGTTTGTACGCGAATGTCATGTGTGTGAAATCTGCCTCTATCTCGACGGTCCCACGGTAAGCTAAAGCACCTTGTTTCCTATTTGAATACAGTCGCAAGGGCGCAACAACAAGAAAAACCAGCTTAGATGTTTCCAATCTCCTTGACGAAGTCGTCAAGCTCCTTCTTGGTGTCGGCGTACTTCTTGGCCATCTCCTCATACTTGGATTCCCACTGGTCGCGGGATTGCTCGAGAGCCTGGACTTTGCGTTCGTAGTGGCCGGACTTGACGTCGGTTTGGCGGAGCCTAAGAGGGGTAGCGAGTCAGTACACGCAGATCAGGGGGGGTGAGTAGTGGTGGCAGTGGTAATGGCAGAAGGCCATCCATCGGAAGGGATGGAAAAGAGAGCAATCGTACTTCTCATTGAGCTCGCGGATCGTCCTGTCCGACTCCTCAGCTTCTTCCTCGAGAACTTGAATCTTGCGCTGGAGGCTCTCGGCTTGAGTGCCGGCTTGAGCGCCTGCACCAGCTTCGTCCTTGTGGATCTTGACTTGCCCCTCAAGCTTCTCAACCTCGCTCTCGAGCACAGAGTTCTTGTGCGTCAACGAGGTGATCTCCTGCTCCTTCTGTGTCGTCTCGGCCTCGAGCTGCTTGACCCTGGCCTTGAGCTCCTCAGCGCGGGCGCTGCTCTCATCCGCCTCGACGCGGAGAGCTTCCATGCGCTGTGCAAAAAGGCCATGTTAGCGTATGTTCCCCGTTTGAGGTGTGACAGGCGTGGAATGTGGCGTCAACCAGAGGTAGGGTTGGGCATGGTGGGAAGGGGCATTGGCGGGGTATGCGTCGACTCACCTTCTTGATCTGATCCATGGTGGCGGGCGGTGTGTAGAGTGTGAATGGGAAGAAGGAGTGTTTGTGGTGTGGTGCTACGGAGACGGTGGAGAGGTCAGCAGCTTATATAGTGGAATGAAGCGGAGCAGGTGTGTTGTCGTGGATGTCTGAGAAATGTGCCTTGCAGTTGAGGTGTGCAAGCTGACAATGCGGGCAAGCGCTGCCGAAAGGGACTACCTCCGCCCGGACCCTTTTGCCAGCCCAGACCCTCTTTGGCCGCCGCCGCCCCAGCAACCGCCAGTAAACACACAAGTACCCGCCCCGACACTATCTCCCTCCACCAACCCCCGCCCGCCGCCCGCCGCACCCCACACGACTCGCTCAATGTAACCACCGCCATGGCGACTCTCGCAGCAAACGACCAGGAAAATGCCGTCCGCCATTTGCACGCCGCCGGCGGTTCAAAGTCGCTAAACGCGGGTATCAAGGGATTCAACGCCAAAACACCAGGAAACAAAGCCCCCAAGACGCCCTTCAAGATCCCGCTCAACGACGAAAATGCCGTGACCAAAGGCGCGAAATCGATTCTGCAAACTCAAGGCAAAGGAGCCGAATTATTCACAGGCGGCAAGGGTGGAAAAGTCGACCAGAATGCCTTTGTTACTCCAGCCGGTATGACGGAATAGCCGCGTAATGCATTCACCCAAACTCACACATCTAGGACCCCGTACGCGTGCGCCGCTGGGCATGAAAACGACCAATGCTAAATCCAGAGCCTTTGCGACGCCAGCGCCTTTGTCTGCAAAGACGCAGAAGCTCAGTCCGCGTCTTCGTCGTCCAAAAGTCAAGGTCCACCAGCCTGAAGTCGCCAACGAGTCTGAAGATGATGTGCCCGAAGTCGAGTACATGCCTCCCAAGGAGATTCCGCTTGAGGATGACATGGACGAGTACCTCCCCAGGAACTGGACTATTCCCAAGATCAACAACCAGGACATGGTGCGCGGCATCTGGCAGGCCTACCACAACCCCATTGAAGACGACGGACGCACGCACGAGCAGCGGAAGTTTGAGGAGGAACTCCAAAAGGGCCGCAAGCAGCGCGACGAGCATTTTGAGAAGCTCTTTGCATCCCAAATGGCCAAGGACGACGCTGAGATGAGGGAATATTATGGGATGAAGGAACCGAAGAAAGAGGCAGCGCCCAAAACAGCAACGTCTGTTTCTGCGCTTAGAAAGGCTCCAACTGGACCGTCGACTATACGCGCCCGATCTGCAGCAGCTGCGCTTCTCCCAACCTCGAAGCCTAGCTATGCTGCTCCTACTGCAGCCGCCAAATCGCGCGTACCAACTGGACCTGTTTTTGGCAGGAAAGGAGCAAAGACGCCCACAGAGATGGCATCCTCTCGCCAGGTCTCGGCTTCAGTAGTGTCCAAGAACACCATTGGCTATGCTCAAGGTCGTGCTGGACGTACCGCTCCAGCAGCAGCGCGCAAACCCCTCTCCAACGTCACCAAACCCGCGCCATTCTCTGCCATGGCCCGCCCCGTCTCGACCAGCCATGTGCGCAGCGCGAGCACCAGTGCTTCTACCGGCCGCTCTCGAGGCCCCATTTCTCGCTGCAGCTCCACCTCTACCAACGCTACGCTGGTTTCATCCGCAGAGGACGAGCAGCCTCGTCGTACCGCCGAAGACTTTGAGCGCGAAATGGAGTTGTTGCTGCTCGCGCGTTCCGACGATGAAGACGACGACGCGTGGACCAAGAACTTTAGCAATCAGTTGCATGGAAATATTGCGCTCGCCGAGGAGGAGGAGGAAGATGACGACGACACCGCTGCGTTTCAGTTGCAGCTCCCAGAAGGCTTCTAGCGTGTTTTTTTGAAAGTGGGAGAGACGAGATTGAACGGAACTAGAAGAAGAAGAAGACCATGCAGCCAATGTGTAAATTACTAAAACTGTAACATCTTTTTTTTCTTAGTTCTTGTTTTCTGGGGGGAGGAGACGGAGACTGCTGGAGTTACTATGTGTGGATTATTGGATACCTCTTTTCTTTACCTCTCTCTCTCTCTTTTTTTTGCATCAGTTGTAATGGGTTTTTTAAACTTGAGTATGAGTGGTATGAATTCATGCCATATGTCGTAACATCTGCCTCCCTTTTTTCTCTCTCTCTCTATTTCTTCTCTAGTGAAAAGTACTGTGATATATTGCACTATCTCACACATTCCCCAAACAACATCACGCATATTCAATTACTTGATTTTTTTCTAAAAAAAAAACCCATTTCATTTCGCTCGCTCAAAAGGGACCCATACAACTGACTTGAAAGAAAAATAGCTAGCTTTCATGCTGCTTTGTATCCCCTAAACTACTACCCTTTCCCCCTTTCCTTCCTTCACTTATTTCCCCCCCTCCCTCCCAGCCCTACCTTGCGTATTCGCCATTGCTGTTGGAATCAATTAGGACTCGACTTTGAGTCCTACTGATCCGCGACACTGATTGGTCGACACGAGCACTGGCAAAGGCGTCGTCACCACCTATTGGCCCGTGCGCGGAGGTACTGTAGATACTCAACACGATAACAGATACAATCAATCAATCCGCTTCCTCACTATAGTATTTGCAGCTGCAAGTTGATTCACCACGTGCACCTTTATCGTGCCAACAATTGCATTTGCCAATTCCCAATCCCCCCACCTTTTTTTCCGCCTCAGTATATGTTGTATGTAATGCTAGTTATATAATGTATGTTATTTGAATTTTTTTCTGAATCGAAGTAATCACCAAACACTCTCCCTTTGACTATTTCCCCCCCCCCCCCCCCTTCTCCTTTCGCAAACCTCCTCCTCTGCTTGGGAACACACACAAAAATATGAAAAAGAATGCGCGCTGAAAGAAAGAAAAAAACCATTCTTACCGTGAATACGCCATGCTACTTGCAAAAAAATTAATCCAAGGTGAGAAATCCCCAACGAAAAAAAACGACGAAGAATGGACAGAAAAAAAAGGGGGGAAAGCATTAGACTAAGTAAATAGTCTTGTAATGTAGCTTTTTCTTTTAGCTTGACACCCTCCCCCCTAAGCAAACTACTACTAACCCTTTTTAATTCACCACCTCATCCACAGCATACAAGTTCTGATTAAGAATCTTGTTCATGGTAAACATGTGAACACGGTCTTGCTTGAAGACAGCACGCATAGCATCATCGCAGCGAATCTGGCGCTTATCATTGGGATCTTGCAAGTCACGCGCTTTAACGTATTCCCAAATCTTCTTGACCGTCTGGGGCCGCGAGAGTTGTGTTTCGCCGAGGAGTTCGGACAGGGCTGGAGAGAGGGCCATTGGTTTCTGTAAACAACAAAAAATTGGAGTCAGTATGGATCAGAGGTCTTTTGGTTTCGCGAAACGTGAAAAAAAAGGTAGATGAGGTGGAGAAAAAAACTGACGTGGAAGCCTCCTTTCCGACTTGGGCTCTTCTTTTCGCCTCCACTGCCTGAGCCAACGTCGCTGTCGTCGTCGTCTTTGACCTTGTTTGCGCTCTTCTTCTTGGCCTTCTTCTTTGGCGCGGGCGCTTTCCGCTTCGTGTTTCCGCCCCGTGTTGCCCTGCCCATGCGCGCATTCTCTTCTGCCTGTAACCTGGCTGCAAATGCCGCGTCGCCATCCTCATCTTTCACTTTGGTCTTCTTGTTCTTCTTCTTGGGCGGCGGGTTCTCGTCAGGCCCCGACAGCACAGACTCGTCATCGGGCGGCGATCGCTTGTGGTTGGACATGTCTGATGTATCGCCGTTGGATGTCTTTGTGCCATTTGCGACCGTATGTGTGGGCTCCGAGACATCAGAGCCGCCGTTCTGCTCACTGTTGAACTTGTCGAAGCGCAGCATGATGAGCGTGGTGATTTGTTCCTTTTGATGCGACAGGTCCTCGCCGACTCTTTCCTGTAGGCCCTTTCGTATGCGCTTCGCAGAAATGGTATTTATATCGCTCGCGCGAAGGATGTCGTCAATGATGACCGAGTACGAGGCCTCGACCTCTGCGGGGAGAGGGTCTGATGCGCCATGTTAGCATGCGGCCGTGAGCGCGTGGCAGACTGCGAGCGGATGCTTACCCGACATGGCTGTGGTGTTTGCTCGGAGTAGTGAGAGTCGCAACTACAAGGTCGATGGGCGGGAAGCACGGTCAGTTATTGCAAGATGCAGAAACCGGAGCGTGTGAGAGGAAGGCTCGCGCAATAGGCGCAGCAGGTCTACACAGGGCGTCGTTGGGGAGCCAAAGCGTCGCCAGCAGGCTCTCACCCAGCAAGCAACTATTGTGGTCGCGGCCCAGACTGAGAGACAGCTAAGAGACAGCAGCCAGGGTGCAGCCAAACACTTCGCAGCCTCTAGAGCGGTCCCGTTGTGCCGACGACTCGTGGCGGGGTCCAGTCACGGGCAGCAGATGAGTGGCACAGGGGCGTTGAATGCAGCTTGTGTATACGCAGAAGCCGGAGATGCAGCAGAGGACACCGTCGCAGAGGTTTGCCGGATACTGAGGCTGGCACTAGGGCAGACTGCGACAATCGAGGCATGCGCGATGAGGTGTGAAGACGTACATGCACGGGCGCGGTCTAGTCAGGTACGGCCCGACCTTGGAGGAGGAGGAGGAGGCTGGGGAACCCCAAACACTGCCGCGCCATCGCCTTCACTCACCCAGCCAACACATGCTTACATCCATCCCATCCGCCAGTCATCGCATATAGTTATTGACTGCCTATACACATGCATTACTTGTCCTCGTAAACACATACACATACACACCAAACAAACGACTTGGATTTTTACTTCTCTCTCTCTCCCACCACTTGCCCTAGCGGCAGACTGCATACATACTCGTCCAAAAGCGGTAGTCCTGCATCTCTTCTGCTTCTCAGCCTGCGCCACTCGCTCAACCCGGTAGTCCTCACATGACCAAGCAGCCGACTCCGTACATTTGCTTCTCTACTGCGCTTTTGATTTGATACCAGTCCGCTCTTCTCTCTGCAAACTCATACACCTCCTCCGCTCGGAAGATGCCGTGATACCGGTCTGTGTCTGCAATGATGGTAGCAATCTCTTTGGCTTGCTTCGCGTCAATCAGATATATCTGTGAGAGCTCACGCAGCGCAGCAAAGTACTGGATGAGCGGCTTGTTACGCAGAGAGACAATGTACGTGTTGTATGCATTCATGTCGCTGCAGATAGTCAGTAGACGCTCCGTTGGTATCCAGAGCCAGGTGCTACCTTACCTAATGAGCTTGATGGCGCCATCCACACTGATTCTCTGCCGCTTCAAATGTTTGCAAAGAGCAGTGAACAGGCGCACACCTACTTCCTGGTTGAACACATCAAGCACGTTCTTGTCTGTGCTGCCAATGAGCATGCTCGTGTGCGACGACACAACTTCCACAATCTTGAGTGCTGTTTGACTCGGCCCAATGTCCGACATCTCTACCACACCATTGGGCCCAATCGGAGGGTTGAAATCGGTCGGGTCCTGCGTCGTACCACAAAGGTACTCGACCTCGTCCATCAGCACATCAATACCTTTGTTGAGACCTGCAGCTACGCTCTCATCAAGTTGTGCCTCAAACCGCTTCTTCTCTTTTGCTGCCAGGCTAAGGAAATCATCCCGATCTGTGAGGTTGGCAGCAACAAGCTCCTGGAGATAGAAGACTTCGACCATCTGCTGTATAAGGTCTCCGACATTGACAAGCTCCAGGAAAGCCACGAGTGGCGCAACTCCTTCTTGGCTGTGGTCCGCCACCTCTCTCGGCTTGTAATCCGCCAGGTGGCTGACAGCCTTGTCGAACCCTAATTTCATATGCCGGTTGCCGAGAATCTGGACAAGGTGAATGAAAATCTGTTCCGACTGTTCTTTCGCCTCTTCACCAGACTGGCCGCCAAGCCGGACAAATCGAGCAGCGCGTTCGAGACTAGCCTTGGCCATGTGCGTCAGATTGAGGGCAACCTCGATGCTGAAAAGTGATCGAATTCCTTCTAACCGCGAGTTCATAATGGCCGCCTTGGCAGCAAGTTCACTCGTCGGGGCGTCCATTCGTGGGGTTGAGGTCCCATCGCCAGGGATAGGAGTGCCACTTCTCGAGGTCGGATCCAAGGTGCTATTTCTATTTGCGTTCGGTTTACTCGAACCCGAGCCGCCCATGGTGGGTAGCACATTGACGGGCATCATGACTACCTTCTTGAACGACGACAGAAAATCTTGTTTGACAGCTTTCCGGTTCACATTTGCCATGAACCGAGTCTCAGTAGTTAGCTCTTCTTCTAGCAGTCGCTTCTCCCACACATCAACCTCTGCCGCCGACTTGCGTTTGAAATAATCCAACTCCTCTTGCAAGTACAGATCGACATGGGGCTCAAAACACCGCGTTATAATGCGAATCGCCTCTTGCTGAAAATCAGGCTTGGAGGCCTTTGTGGGATGGAGGGATACTGCAAGCTGCAGCGCTTGGTCGAAAATGCCAGCGACAGTTTTCAAATAGGCTTCGATGCTCACGTCATGAGCCTGGTCAAAAAGAGTTGTGAGGTACTCTGCAATGACGTCGTCTGCAACACGCTCTAAAAAGGTCTGTAGAACGTCAACCGTAGGCGGAAAAACACGATCAATGATGGCGGCCTCGTTATTGAGCTCGGTAGCTAGGCCCTTGAAAAATTCATGCGACGGCTTCAAAGTCACCTCATCACCTTGCAAACAATCGGATGGATCTCCGAGCCTCTCCTTGTCCAACATCAACGGGTGATTGTGGATAAAAGAGTCTAGACATGCTGCACCGCCATTCAATGTTATCAAGACTGATGCAAACCGCTTCATGCGGCCATCAAAGTCCTTTTCGGCGTAGCCTTGCTCGAACTCGCGAAGCACGGCGTTTTCAAAGATGCCAGTCATTGTATCGAGCTTTTCCTCACGCTGATGCCAGCCTTGAGCATAGTCGCTCTTTGCAAATACCTTGAGCTGGGCAAGCATCTGGGCTTGCTGCTCCGGATCACGGTACGTTCGAAATAATATGGGGTCGGCATGACTTCGCGACCTCTCAATGTCGTAGTAAAAGGGAGCCAATGCGCCATAGACTTTTCCATACTCTTGTCGTGCCATGCCACGTATTGAACGCACGTTCGCCAGTACTTTGACGGCAGCTTGTGGGTCAACGATGTAGGAGCTTGGGGCTAGTGTTCCAGATGGCGACAGGGTCATGTCGTTGAAGCCTTTGTCGAGCGTCGTGGAGCGGGGTCGGCCTTGGTGGTCCTGGGACTTGCGCAGCATGTCCTCCTCTATGGCAGCATCAAAGAGAGTCATGCTGGTGTTGCCCACGTGGTCGTTGCCCGGTGCCATGGAGCTGGTGCTACCATTGGGTACAACGCCTGCAATACGTGCATCCTCTGCTTTTTGTGCCTGCAACTTCTTCTTCATGGCCTCGTCAAACCTCTGCTTGGCCTCTGCTTCGTTCCAGCAACCCATACTCCTCAGTCTTTGCTGCCATCGTGTGTCGTCGTATACCATCTCGCGCATACGTCTCGAGGTGCGCGCAAAGTTGAACATGTCGGCGACGGGCAGATAGTCGAGGATGGTGTTGATGAGCTCTGCAAGTCATGGTCAGACGAGTGAGCCCATGAACTGGGCAGTTCGTACCTGCAGGTAGTACGGCCTTTGAGTCGCCCACGAGCTGCGTGGTGCGCAGCGACGCCAGCATGGACGGCTGTGTCTGGGGCATGGCCCGCTTGAAGTTTGACTTTGGCGGCATGATTGAGGTGGATAGGAATAATTTCCTCGAGAGATGGTCTTGAGCAAAGTGTTTAGCCCATACCCTGGGCCCAGCGAAGTTTCGCGTGGTGGTCGCGGGGGCAGAGGGGTGTTTGCAGCTGAGGGTGGAGCAGTGACGGTTAACGGCTTGGGCCTCTGGCGGCAGGGTCTGGTCGATCCGACATGGCACCAGATTGATCGCCCCGCAGCTAGAGCACATCAATCGACTACATCACACCGGGAAGGCGTAGGGGGACAAGGCAATGTTTCCAGCAAGAAGAATCGTGTCTGGTGGGATTGTGAGGATCATCTTGGCTCTGCAGCAGCGTGTGCCAAGTTTGGAATTGAATTGAGCAGTGGGAAGACGCAATGATGCGCATCATAGACGGCAGCACGGGGGAGCGAGCGGCAAAGAAGCAAAGGCCGAAGCCGGGCGTCGGGCGTGGTTGATGACGAGTGTGGCAGCAGCAGGACATTGAGGGAAATGAAGCAAACTGACATGTTGCGGCAACTCGCCAAAAGCAATGTGGAGCGAGACGCCGTGGCGGTCGCATAAGCAAAGCTCACACTTGCTATGTATAGGAGTGGTGAAGAGAGTGAGAGGGTTGGGTTATGCAGACGGGCCATGGCAATGCCAATGCAAAGGCCAAATGTAGGCAGTAAATGCAAATGCAAATGGGAGACGGCTGCCACGTGGAGTGGAAAGCTCTAGACTCTGCCCCTGATGGGCGAAACAAAGGCCGTTAGTGGGGAAGGCAGAGCGAGTAAATGAAGCGTGGTGTTTTATTGAGAGTCGCAAGAGCGCGGGCAAAACATTAGGACACGGCAAGGCATTGGCTGGGGCGCTGGTGAGCAGGTGAAGGGTCTCACGTGCTCTGCACCACACCATGGGCAACCACAGGCAGCCAAAGGGTAATCCAGGTGCCAGTGCCAGGGCAACATTCAGGGCACTGTCGTGGTAGGCTGGGGCTATTCTGGGACGGGGCGGACGGTCCAGTAGGCGAAAGGTTATGCCTAGCTCTCGCCCCTGGCAGGCCGACGACTATGTTACAGCACAAAGTACAGTTTGTCTCAGGAGGTAGTGCCGCCGTCTAGGCAAGCAGGCAAGCAGGCAGGCAGGCAAGCAGGCAGCGAAAGAAAGAAAAGGCCCAAGGCACAAAATGACAGAGGCCACGCAAACATTAGGGCAGAGTCTGTAGGGATGAAACCCTGGACGGAAGGTTTCAAGCTGAGTTCCGCAGCACATGCCACCGCTGACCCATGCCATGGCCGGCGACCCACGGCGCACGACATTTGTTGCGACCGTGAACGTCAGCGGGCTGGTGGGTGAGTGAATCCAAGT